TCTTATAATAACTTTAATACCTTCTTAATCGGTCTTTACGGTATCTCTAATATTTCTATGCTTTCTGGTTTTTATAACTTTTTTATTCCGTTTTTATTACGGGGCACCTTCATAATTTGCTTACCTGTTTAGAAAGAAAAACCAGTCCAAGGTACAGTACGATTTTTAGGCCCAAGGTATAACACTATAAAAATTACAAAAGCAACTTCATGTCATTTATAGATTAGAGATTAAACTCTTTTTTCTACAGCAATCTATTGTTAAATAAGCTACGAAACTATATTAAAATAATTGGTTGTAACTTTATGTATAGAAATAAAGTTATTTACAAAAGTTCAGACGAAAAAAAAATTACGTTTGATGTGAAAACATCTTCAAATCGTCGTAACGCCTCAACTTGCAACGCGAGTGCTTGCAAACTACCTTTTGTGATTTTTCTCACAGATTATGTGTAATCTAGTATTGCCAATTTTGCAAAAGAATTCCACCAATCCGTACTATAAATCACAAGTTTTTATCATAAAAAGTGACATTAAATCGTTTCATCGTTTCTATATAAAAAAGCAGACATTATCATTCTGCTACTGAAAAAAATACTACTAAATCGTAACGGAAGAAAGTTTCCACGGGAACGAATCGGTAAGGCCAATCCAAAGCGACTCTAAATGTATCCCCGGAACTTTGACATTTGAATCAGCTGGGTAGGCGTGACGTGGTTAGATTGGATCCGTGATGACGGAAATAGAGCCTGCAAATCGAAGAAACAGGATTATGGTCCCGGCGATGGAGGATCAAATTGCTGAAACAAGCACAGTCGAAGCGTTTCTTGCCGCTTCCTTAATTTTTCTTAGCATCCTTCGTCAGCTCTGATCCACTTTTCTGGAGTAACTGATTCAATTCTCTCGCCTTCTTTCTGTTCGATCGGTTAATGTACGTGGTGATTATCGTTGGTCGGTTAGGATTATTGGAAACAATTGTTAGCTATCTAAAAGGTTTTCATCATTTCTATCCATTATAATATCAAAATAGCCCACATATATGTATATTCACCTGCAGAATAATAATTATTATCGAAATTAATTGATACATTACAAGGTGTTTTTAAAAGTATCATATGTCACAAAATCCGAAGACATATTCCACACCTCGAATCTGAGAAGAATATTCTAGCAAACTTGAATTCGCAAGCATTTTGTTTTGGAAGTATTCTTGATATAATTTAAATAAATAAAATAAGAATGTATACATATGTATAAATTAAATCAAGTGTATTTGCGATACAAAATGCCTGTGAACTCAAGTTTATTAGAACTTTTTTATCAAATTGAAGATACGGAATACGTTCTTGAACTTTCTTACACACTTTTAAAACACCCTGTAATTTATGAAATATTATTTATTATACATTTTTTCACGTATAATGTAAACGGGTATTTTATAGTGTACTATTGTAGCTTCAAAAAAGGTTTTAATTGGTTGATCTCAAATAGAGATAGACAAATATTTATTCGAATATTACCACTAAAAACAATAAGGATGAGCTTCTTCTTGATAATTATTTCTTGAAATAATTATACACATATCGCTATGCCGCAAGAAACGTGTCACAAATCGAAAACATGTAATTTTCCAAGAATATAAGAAAAACCGTTTGATACATCACGTAGCGTTTTATTCTATTAAATGAAGTGAAACCTAGTGCCATCTCCCTTGACGTACTGGGCTTGAATTTATATTTTTCTGCTTAGTGGATCTACTTATTAGAAAATATTTCACGGAATGAAACGAAAAACGAGAATTTTTCACTTGGTACATTTGGTCTTTCAAAATCAAATATTACTCCATTCTATTACATTAACGATATGTAAATGGCCGATTGTTCACGTCAAAGGTACTCTATTGACTCATGAGACAAGAGTTAAAACGGTACAATTATGTGTCACAATCTAGCCCGTAGTAGGCACATTACAGTAATGTCTCGATGAGTGTGACGAAGTTGCGTCCGATTCGGTGCATTCGTGGCAAGGCGGAAAGGTCTTCAGCCACTCATACATTTTTTTTTGCACTAAGCCGAGCCTCTGCTTAGTTTCTGTTTACTTTGTTTTGATTGGTTCCAGAGGTAGAACTCCTACGTGGTGGGAATAACGCAGTTGTTCGCGTCGAATTCATCGAGGGATCACTGTAGTTCGCATTCGCATCAGCAAGAATTTCAAATGTTTAATATTCTTAAAATCTCACATTCTTTAATTAACGGTTTTAAAAAACATAAAATTTTCCACGTAATGTGGGTATCACCGAAATTTTCTACCTAAAACATAAGTTTCATTTAAACCCTACTATTTATTTCTAAAAGTTATAAGACATAAAAATTTGAAAATCCCGATTCTCAACAGTGTACCTGCAGTGGGTGCTGGAATGAAGTATGACTATCACGGGTTAAAATTGATTAATTATTGATATTTTAACAGTCTGTTATTCCAATTACTTTCTAACATTTACAAAATACCCGTAACCAACGATCTTCTATAACTTTTTATTTAAATTTCCCTATGATTTTGCATTCGTAGTGTCGTTGGAATAATAAAGTGGATAGTGTAACAAATAATTTCAGAAGTCAGTAGTCCAATGTCGTGGTAAATAAACCTGACAATTTACGAGGGAATCCCTTTTTACTGGCTGACAGAGAATCGAACCGCGTGCATCTGTGACCATCAGGCTGCCTTCGGGGCATGTCAGTCGAGCGCACACTTCGAAGAATTAATTATAAACATCTCGAATTTCGCGTCTGCGTCGAATTGCCGGATGTGCGGATTCAGCGTGCAACACCTGACGGGAAATTGCAACGGGCGTCGGGAACTGCGGCTGAAGAGCCGGAGGAAAAAAAAACGTTGATACGAGGGAAATTCATTCAGACACGAAGATACACGTTAATGACATCGTAAAAATGCAAAGACGCGTGAACCGAAACAAACGCTAATGGAGAACCATCAAACATATCTGTGCTACGAATAATCATTTGGAGACGCTGACGATGGAATTTGAATAACATGGAAACTGTTGTTTTAACGTTACGCACTGTACAATTTATATACTGAATTTATAGTCGAACAGTTTTATCGTAATATTAACTAAGGTCAGTGTCCCTATTTCTAATGATGTAAGAGTTCTGTTATCGCAGAAATTGATTTTTGTTATTTATTTATGCAACAATCGATAAAAGAACTTACTAGATATAAAATTTAAACCTTCCTTTATAATTAAATTTAAATATAAGTATTTTTAAAAACATTGTAACTTAATAATAGTTCATTTAAAATGTCCGTATTTCTGCTCAGCGAAAATGAAAATGCTCGTATTTCTGCTCACAAGCGTGTTCCTATTTCAGCTCAGCGAAAATGGAAATGCTAAACCCAAACTTTGACGAACAATATTAAAGATCCCGTAAGTTTTTTTAGTGAAAACGCAGCGTCCACGTGCAACTCACGATTGCAACGGAACCGCTTAAATCACGTTCCTTTATGTTGGACACTTGTTAAATTTATTTCTATGAAAATTCTGCCATCTATTGAATAGCAGGCTGTAACATTTTGTACGGAAGTACTGAACTAATTTAAATAATTTTTGGTATAACTAATTTATTATTTAACTTTTTACATTAAATAAAATATATACGTACTGGGCAGAAATCGGGACGTGATTAGAAATACGAAGATTGACCTTACTACAGAAATATGCAACGTTCTTTATTTTTATAATGGTGAAGTCAATTGGAAAAGTTATTAGTTACTGAAATAAATCTTGGTATAGTGTTCAAATATAGCATCTGCAACTGTGGATATTATAATAGTGTTCAGTAACATCCTGAATATTTGAAACTGAAAATAATGGATGAAAATTGTGGACAAATGAACAAAATATTCAGTAAATACAGAATGTTTCTATTGTATTTAAGTACCTACGAATCAGAAACAATTAAAATCATTAACGAAATCAGATACAATTAATTTCATCGACAATTTATTAGAATCTCACTTTAACGCTGGAACTACCACCGTTGAATAAGTACAAATTTTAGTTGTATAATATGGTAATATTACATTGTAATATAATTAATAATACATCATAACAAAATTCTATACGAAGTTAATGTTGAACATAAATTTCGACACAAACACCTTTATAGCTTCAGTGATCGTCAAACGAGGAATCTAAAATTTGTCATTTTGACAAGCTTCCTGATTCCAGTGTTACTAGTTGGAAAATAAAATCGACACTGAATAACTGAATAAAGGCTCTTTAAATCGAATTCCCTGCGGTTGCTCACTGCCGAGCTTACTGTCCCCGTTCATTACATTGAACGAGTTTAATCCGCTACTGTCCAATTTAACGTTCAAATCCCATACCAATTTTATTATTATTAAGGAAATAAAAATATTGTATTTTTGCACAGTTCACCAGTAAAACTTGAAAACGTGTTTTTCGAGTGATCACTATAGAAAAGTTGGGAGAACATTGTTCGACCAATCATCAAAAGTGTAATCATTTTGCTTCATAAGTCGGTTTTCAAAGAGCAATTACAGCAATCCCTCCATGTACGCGGATTCACTTCAACGCGCTTGAATTACCAGAGCCCAGAGATAACATTAAACCATGTAAATAAATTATAGTTGCATCAAAAAGTGTGTTTTTCGTTGCTTGTAAGTTTTTAAAAAGCCTCTAATTAAAACTTTTCTACCCCAGTAAGAGCTAAATACATATTTGAGAATGTGGAATGGATCCTTATTTTAAACGGCTTTTCATGGTTCCATTTACGCGGTTTCCATTTACTGTATATCACTCTTACTGTTACGAAGTAAAACTGTTATTGTGACAATTGTTTGTATTTTTTGAAAAATCTAATGTTACTGTGTCGTGTTGCTTTTGTAGGAACGTTGCGATTTATGTATTTAATAATGAATGTTGTCTGTTAATATCTGAAGTATTTTTTAAATTTGTTTCAGATGGCGGCGTAGTTGGTGGTTCGAGAGCTGGCCCGGTGGTGACTCTTCACACGTTAGAATTGACACCACGCGGTAGAGTTTTACTGCGACTTGCACCACCCGAGACTGCTCGAGCGTATCTGCCGCCTGAATATCGACCGGGTCGTGTATATTCGGACACCGATTCGGAAAAGGTACGTGACACCAGTTTTACACTTACGAGAAAGTTAATTATTCATTCAGGAAAGGCGGTAGCCTGTCATGGCAAATCGTTTAATTTCATTGAATTTCATTTAAACGAAAGCGTTTAAATGAAATTTGTTTATCCGATTAAGTCAAGTGAAAATGAATATTCATTTAGTGGTATTCAAATATAGATTTTTGGGCCCATAAATTTTATTTATACGCTACTTCAAATCGGTAGAAAATGGAAACAGTCGTTTTACATTTTGTTTCTTTTATTTGTAAAATATTTCGATAAAATTCCTGCAATTTCTGTCGAATTTTGCCGAACGCAACAAATAAACTGAATTCTTTTTTTTTTGTTTATTAACAGATATTTATTTGTGGAAATATATTGCTCGCACAGTCGGTTAACCGTTTCAGTTTACAGTATCTTCTATTCTACAAATTGTACTCTCAAAGTCAGTAAACATCGACAATTCTATATTCGCATGTAAAAAAATCGAATCTGTACATTGAATTTCAATTTTCATTTCTATATATTATTTTCTCTCAAAAACATTGTTTAACCTCTACCCTTTAGTTGTGTTTTATAGTGTAAACTTGAGATTCAGATATAATCTGGCTTACTACACAATTTTTTGGTGCACAATACTTTAACCCTTGAAAGCGACCATAAAAGTAATCCCAAACTAATTTCGTTTATTATGTTTATTGCAAAATATGAGAGGAAACTGATTTGTTTTATAATAATATTGTCACTGTTGATGTTTTGAATAAATACTTACAAAATTAGTCTTACCAATTGTTACGTCTTTTTAATAGTATTTAAAACAAAATTCATATGGGGTGAAATTTCACTCATGGTAGCTTTTAAGGGTTAAACATGTACTTGTTTGCAGAGACGAAAAGGTACGTCAATTAGCGAACTAAAATGAGTATGGTTCTGTGAAAAACAGCAACCCAATTTCATTTTGCAAGTGTATAATGTTAACATAAACCTAACGCAGGTGTACGTGACGTGACACTCAAAGTGTTAACAGCCATCTAACGTTACCTTATAACTTTTTTCGTTAATTGTGACATTCTCAAAGTTGCAATCTTTACGTGTCATTTAGGAATTTTTACATATGATAATTATATTTGGTTATTTAGGAGTAAATCAGAGATTTTTGATATCTTGTATTTGTTGTATTAGTAATGACACGGTAAGAATTTTCTACTGAGTTTGTTCTACTAATTATTTCATTGACGGTTAACTACCAAGTAATTAACATTAAATCTACCGAACCCTTCATAGAGGTAGGAATTAGAACGGCAAAAGCGATCGTGGTAGGTTTACTGTTAAATTTATGGATTACTATTCCTATTATAACAAGGAACGTAAAATTTATTGAATGTCACACCAGAGAAAATGTTTGTAAAATATTAAATTAGACGTGCTAAACTTTTTATGCTTATTCCACGTTTCTTTTAAAGAATGTTTTGACTTTCCATAAAATATAAACCAATTAAATCGTACATGGATACAAATCTAATTTAAACAGATGTCTCTAATAATCTATTTAATAATTGTAGCAGCTAATGTAACCATTAAACATATTTTCTTAGAATACATTGATGTAAAAAATGCCTTATTGTAAAAACAAAAATTATTAAATAACAATTGAAGAGTACGAAATTGCTCTTGATACGTGACGAAATTGCGATGTGTAAATGCTTTTACAACTCGAATCCTAACCATCAATATGTACAATATAATACTAATAATAATAGTAACAGTAGTAATTTTTATTTTCATCCTCACTGTTAAGAAATTGACTTCGTTTACAATTTCCTAATTCTTAGCAAAACTATCTTGGCCCTAAGCTCCACGCATTCGTTCATCTCACTCATTCTCCTTTCTGTCACTATCTTACTAACCTATTTTTCTTAATATTACTTAGTACTATTAAGTATTAAAGTAATATTAATATTCACAAGAAAACACGAATATCGTAGCTAACAACGTGACGCATACACCAGTCGAACGAAATTTTCAAATTTTCATAATTAAGCCTCCTTTTCGTGTGTATATGTTTATTTACACACAAGAGTGCTCGGCGAGAGCGAAAGGTCGCTTAATTAAATACACTGTGTTTTTTTACGTACTCCCGAGAGCGCAGAGATTTTTCACTGAATGCCGTTTCGTTTCACGGAATTAACGCGGACCCTAGCCTGTAATACATTCACGACCCGATAATTAATTGCGGTCTCTGTGTAACGACGTTTTCTACAATGCGACAATTTAGAGCAAAATGGCATGGCACGTGGTGCCGTTCCGACCGTCGCGAACGGTGACGAGCAAATTGGCAAACAAATTGTTTATCGGGAAATTAGCGAGCCTGGTTTTTTCGTCCCGCATTAGCGATCCTCGAGCGGCTGTAATCCTGTACCCGTTCACGCTCGTTGGAACATTTATTCCCGATTGTCGAACTCGATTGGTGAAAATAGGCGATTCGAGGTTTCCAGCGTCAAGCTTGAATCGAGTTAAATATTAACACGCGATAAACATGAAACGAAAGGAATTATACGATTGAACGTGTATCTGAACCGAATTTTGTTGGAATGAACAAAAAAATAGTTAGTCTACTATTTTTTGAGAAACTTTGTACTCCTTTCAAAATAATTGAAATACTTAGTTCATGAATAATTTAGTCATTTTGACCAAATAAAAAATTGGTAAGATATTCTGAATCTAAAATATGTTAACGGCAAATTGGAACTATGGTGAGTTACTCACTGTTACACCTGATAGATAACTGATATTTATTGTACGTTATGGCCGGTGAATGTGTTAATGGTGTAAGTTGATTGGTAATAAATTTTAGTTAATATCATGGGCAGATAGATTCGACTTGAATGTACATATGTTCTGAATAATTACTGCATATCTTCACTGGTATCTCAATAAGGAGGTGTGGAGGATATCATCTCGAGATGAGTTGATAGTGATCTATGTATATCAAAATAATTGATTTCCTAGATACACTGACAATCAGTAGGACCCCGTATAATGCGGCACTCCTATAAAGCGAACTAAAAATTAATACTCAAAACTTTACGTTTTTATTGTATTAAAATGATATATACAAGGCAAATTATTTTGTTGTATTAGAAACATTTTTTTTATTCAGCTTTAACATTTTGCACTCTAGGTCACGTATAACACGAAACTCGTATAATGCGGCACTTACAGTACCGGACAAAAGTATTCATATACCCTTTAAAACGGAACAACATTTTTAAAATTGGTCCAAATGACTTGAGTTCTTTTGTGCAGTTAGGGACATTGGTTTACTAACTGATGTGCAAAAAAATTGAAAAAGTTGTAATTGGTCGGAATCGCAAAGAAAATAGTAAAGGTCATTTTTTATAATTTTTTAATCTGAGGCTATAATAAAAATTGAATAAATACATATCGAAGATTTATGTTAGTTATATACGTACTGAAACTTTTATTGAAACCGGTTGATACAGAATTGTTAGATTTGCTACAGTTGTAAGTGAAAAGTCGGGAAAAACTGCGATTTTCAACATTTTTAATCGTTTGTATCTCGTAGCAACGTTAACCGATTCAGATGAAATTTTCAACATGTATATAACTAACATAAATCTTCGATATTTATTTATTAAATTTTCATTATAGTCTCCCCCCTTCCCCTGGTGGTGGGGATAACGCCTGGACAATAATCGCATATCAACAAAAAATCAATAATCGCGAGGACTCTGTACCTCAAAAGTATATTTACTAACTCACGCCATTAATACTTTCAAGGGCTCGTATGTATACGACGTACACGTATTGAATTTCATCATGAATACACTTTCATTTCCTTCTTTGTATGCTTCCTTTCATCGAAAATGTACTTTTTTTCATATTTATAAGCGACCTACGAATCATCATTTCCTTCGAATCAATTATAAATTTTTTTGTTGAGATATTTGCTTGTTAGCTGTAAATAATTCAAAATTTCTAGGTGCTTTATAAATATGAAGCGAGCACATTTCAATGTTTCGATGAAAAATCGTTTTCTATTCATGTTCTCATTATGTTGAATTTAATTTGTGAAAATCCTAAATACCCTCGCTCTGATTGGAAATGAATGCTAATTTTTAGGTGAGTTGTAAATAGAAATTAGATTGTAATTGCTAGCTAACTATTACACATTTACCACGTAGTCCTCGTCTACTTTTATTATCCTTTCGTGATACATTTCTCGTAATATTGAAATAAAAATCGCAGTCTTGTATGTAACTTGGTCAAATATGTATGATTGTCTTTTGTGAACAAAGTGAGTTAGTTATGTGAGTACTAAGAATTAAGTAAAGGTAAAAAATTCATCTTCAATAGAGTATCTTCATGATCATTGAACTATTGAATCGTTTGGAAAGTTCGTGGGGGTTCGAGCACACTGTCTTCGTTACCTTTTTACTGAACGAAGAAAAACTCGTTTGATCCGACAAACACATACAATTTTGCAGGTGTGAGTTGAATGTATTTGCTCTACAAACTACTCGTCCTGTTTTTCTATTCTCTATGAAAAATACTAACGTAACGTCTAAAAGAGTACAAAGTTCATTTTTATTATGATCTATGAAAGTGGTAAAAAGAAATTATATTACTTGAAGTAGAAAACTATATAGTATCTACCTAATTAATTATATTTTGTCTAAAAAGATTGTTCCCTTACATCGTCAGATTATTCTGTATTAAAGAAACCACTTAGAAAGCGAAATCCATCACGAAGTAGGTTGAAGTTTCTTTCAGCAGAAACAATCGAAGTTCTATATAACTGGTACGATAAAATTTCTTGCAAAATAGGAAGAAATTGTAAACAGAGTAGTAAATAACAATATACTATTAATTGAAAAATACAGATTGTAACTTGGCTTTTAAAAACATTGCGATGTTTTCAAACCACCCAATATAAATAAATATCCATAGTTTCTATTAATATCAGTAATGTGATAATTGTATTTGCTGATTTTATGAATTTATTGCTATGCTGCATCGCGATATTTTCTTTCTCTTGTTCACTTCACTGCTCTTCTTCCCCTTTTCCAGTCGGACAAACGTCCGTATTTCCAGCGTGTCGGTATTTATCTCCAACAGATTAAAGAGAGAAAACACGACCCAGGCAATAAATAAACTTCGAGCGTTGATACGTTCTCCCGTCGCGGTTCCGAATCTTTCTATCTTTTCGCGTGCGATTCGGATGATTAGTGATTGTTCCATGTGAAAGTGTTGCCGTAGAAATTAATGAATCGCGTTTCAGATCTTACTTCCTTTTTTGTATCGTCGACAGACACCTCCTACCATGAACTGTTAATTTGAAAATTCTAAAACGTTCCGCAAGAGTAAAGTAATTTTCTCCTTGAGACTTAATGCGCTTATCCTGGTGTAATTATTTTGGTCTTCTCGAAAAATGAATGAAACATCTGAAATTCCATCAGTGGTGCTCTAATTATCTTCTACTTAAAGAAGATGATGAAACTTCTCATAAGGAATTTTATAAATTATAGCATGTTAATCAACGCGTTTATAAGTTAACATTTTTTTAATTTAGGTCAGATCCTTGGAATCGAAGTATTTGGAAATTGAACGTTTACTATAGACAGCACTCATTCGTGATGATGATTGGTCTAGCGAATTTATCGTTTTAATTCTCTATGCAAAGCAGACTCACACTACGGCTCATAAGTATTAGGGCATCTGGTCTTTATGAAGACAATGTGATGTTTCGTAAAAATGATATATTGGAGGCCACTTTTATTAATTCACAGTAGCATAAGCATTGTCCATCCAGTTTTAATACCCACTAAAGAATATTTATTTCAGATTTTCTGCAATTTCGTAATGCCTTGTAGCATTTACCGCATATTCGATAAGTGTCCTAATACTTATGAGCAGGAATATAAACATCTACTTTCTTCTTTTTTATTAGAAGAATTCAGTAGACGAAATACAATAAATTTTTCTTCGATCCAGATTTGTCTAAAATTATCGACGAAAATAAACGTCTGTACTGCAATTATTCCGATGTGAAAGAGAATTGAAGCTACGAATTCCAAATCAGCATAAGACCACTGTAACAGTTCATAATGATTTTAATCATTTTTAACATTGTAAGATAACTATGTTTTTTTTACAAAGAGTTTTGTAAAACTATAAACTAACAGTTAATCTGTAATCTTACAAATCTGTTTACACAAAAACTTGGTTATATGACACTGTTAAAAATGATTAAAGATCATTGTAAATGTATAAATAATATTCACAGGAAGAATCAAAAAGATTAATGGAGCGTTATAGAAGTTAAACCGGAAGAAAAACGTTGATTAATGGTTTGGGTTGTTTTGGAATTCATTGTGTAGCTTTAATCGTGTCCCAGTGAATGCAACTTTTCTATGGAATAAGTAATGAAAGCACGTGAGGAGGCTAATTTCGCTTCATCGTTCGAAATAAACTTCACGGGAAATGGCAACACCTATTACACGTGCCTGAAAGCTATTTAAACGTGATAAAAAAAAAGAGGAACAGTCCGTGCACACACTACACCCGCAGCATGATCGCGTTACATTGTCCCGTTCTCCTCGGCACCTGTTCCATTCACTTCGGTGTATACCTAGCGACACCATTTTTATGGCAATCTATCCTGAATACCCAACGCTGATACTCGATGCTCGCTGATTACCTGCATGTTACGGAAGATTGGATCGTCTAGAGTCTAAAGGTTCCGCTGTTTTGGAGAGAAAAAATGCACCTTTGCAGCCGGATTGTTACTTCGCACAAATCATAGTACTTATTTTAATGAATAGAATTTGAAAATGATGTTGCGTGCAGGATACAATATATTTCTTTGCGTGTGCCTTGTTTTTTTAATTACTTCCTGATAGTACCGAGAGGCGCATAATTCACTGTTCTATTATGATTAAGTAATTGGATTTCTTATTAAAACTGTTGCAGTTTCTTTCCTGGCACGTAATTATTTTTTTCTTGAAGTGTTAACCCTTTCAGTATTTTACTCCATTTTGAAAACTTACACATGTGTGTTTAATTATTTTTAAGCTATGACGAGTACATTCGACAAAAGCAGAGTAATTGCATTTGCTGTAAAATTGAAATAAATTCTAATACAATGACAAAATTACTCTTTGGACTTGGTGGCCATCTATTGTCAAATAAGTTACTGCCTTATCAAATAGCCCTCGTACATATACTACTGTATATTTCTTTCTTTTCAAGTGATCTTTTTTGTTTGTATATTTACTTTTTTGTTCTAAAATATTGTGAAATGTGTTAAAATTAGGAATATGTTTTTTTGTTTTACCAACATTTTACTTTAAATAGCAAATGCAAATTTTTTATTATATGACGAATATACTCGACGTAAACATCGAAACGGTTAAGATACTTATCGAGTATGAAGCAAATGTAGTGAGTAGACTGCGGATGTTTATGCAAACCGTCATCCTTCAGGGTAATTATTAGTATTAACTCTTAAGCATTTTTGGGGTGTTAAGAATAAAATAGGAAACTCGTTGCATCTGATGAAAGACTTGGTTTTTATTTTATTTCACACAGCTCTGTCGGCTATAAATACATAAAACCTGCAGCCTAGTAACAATCTATTCTGAAATTGTTAAAAGTTTGAAATAAATATAGTTTAGAAAACATTAAAGCTCGGTTGAGACCATTTATACTAATAAAAAGTAGCAAAAGTTGCCCAATTGTATAATTTTTACGAAACATCACATTTTCTTCCTACAGGCCAAGTGTCCTAATACTTATAAACGGTTGTCTACACATATTTCTACCAGAATGGTAAAATTAATCGATTCTTTAGTGTTTCATCTGTCGAACAAGTTTTCATTAAAAAAAATTAAATGTTCCCTCAGATCACATTCAAAACGAAACAATAACAATATGTCTTCCATTCCAACAGATTCTACAATTTATAAAAAATAAATTTCATCTGTTATCGTTTTTCCATAAAGTCAGACGTGTAGGCGCCACTTCAAGTAGTGCTTGTCGCGAGATACGCCGTATGCATTAAATTTTCCTCCAAGTATATTTTATCCGTCTCTGTTCCAAGCATCAGCGTATCATAAGCCTCATGTGAAAATTCTCTGCTTTCAGATGTGGATGTACTCGTTGGGAAGAGCATTATTGGACACGACCCCGAGAGTCGCGGCGCTGACGGGAACGGTTTCCGTTTCACCCTCGTCCGCGCTGCAGTCCGTTTTAGCTGCCATGACGGAACCCGATCCCCGAAGACGAGCGTCCTTGATGAATCTTCTGGACGTAAGTCTCGAAATCCAGTAAAAATTGTTTCCCTTCCTTTCTCGTCGCGTGAACTGGCCACGAGGAACGACTAGCTTCCCCGTCCTCGACATAAAAATGACCACCGCCGGGACGGAAGGAACGAGCAACATATATTTTCCTCGGTGTCCTTTTTTTTTTGTGCGAACAAATGTCTTGCACATTTTGTTGCTCGGAAACGTAACTGCACCAGCAGCTACACCCTTCAGCGTAAATTTGATCGGTATCAAGTTGAACAAGGGACAATGAAATGAGTTATTTGTCCTCTTAGTCTGTTATTTGTTGAAGCTGTTTTTCACTTTCAGACGGTGGTATAGTTGACGGTATAGTTGTAATGAAATATAATTGCTGTACGACGTAATAACGAACTCCTAGATATTTGATTATTGCTTAGTGAATGTAGATTTTGAACTGCAGAGTTTAAACGATTGTAACTGATCTTGAGAAGAAGGTTTTTAATGGAAAACAAGATCCATCTGACAAGGAGTGTATGTTAGGTATCCGCCTCCGATTGCTTTGGTTTTCGGATATGTTTTAGAGAACCGAAAAATAAGAGATAGGTATTTTTTTATAGCGGCCCGTTTTCATATTTAGGGGGTGAAACCACCCCTCAAAGTTTCGACCCGGAAGTACTATCTCGAAAACCAGAGGAGATACATGAAAACTATCAATTGGTGGCTTCCATGGTTTTTTATGTACAATAAACTGGTGTTAACAAATTGTCAAAAATACAATTTGTTTATAACAAGAGAATTTGTTATATCTTTATTTTACAACTTATTGAAATTTGCGTAATGACATAAAATGACGAGCACTTAATTCCAAATCCATTGGTATATTTATTTTTGAAATTGCCTCCTTAGTCTCGCAGTTTTTTATTATTTATATCCTGTGCGCACGCCCGCTCTTTAAGGTTCCGATTGCCTCGGTTTTCGGAGAATATATTAATAAAAATTAAATAATGGTCAATTTATAAAAGTCAATTTCGATTTCTCAAAAAATTTGATATAATTTTTATGAATCTTTTTGTTTGCAAAAGCAACTTTTATTTGCAAACGTGATGTCTTGTGTCATTCATATTTGTTGTTTTTCAACGAACGTATGCAGCGGCACAAGAATAACTCTGGCGACGTTATTTTTCTGAAAAACATGTTTCGCAGACTTTCAAAAATAAATGTACCAATGGATTTGGAATTAAGTGCTCGTCATTTTATGTCATTACGCAAATTTCAATAAGTTGTAAAATAAAGTTATAACAAATTTTTTTGTTATAAACAAATTGTATTTTTGACAATTTGTTAACACCAGTTTATTGAACATAAAAAATTATGAAAGCCACCAATTGAAAGTTTTCATGTATCTCCTCTGATTTTCGAGATAGTACTTCCGGGTCGAAACTTTGAGGGGTGGTTTCACCCCCTAAATATGAAAACGGGCCGCTATAAATAAATACGTAACTCTTATTTTTCGGTCCTCTAAAACATATCCGAAAACCAAAGCAATCGGAGGATCGCACTCTTGCCAATAAGTTACGAGCTCTCATGATGAATGATTGTTAGATGAATGAAATGAAACGAATTGAAAAAGAAAATTGATTTTGCAACAACCTAATATTTGTATGGTAATCGCAAGGACACACTTCGTAGTCGCCCCTCTTTATAGAAACTTGAGACGGTTAGGCCTTAAGCTCGTTCGGGGATGTCGGAAACGCCTTCACTCTGATCTAGGTCCCGTTCGTCTCATTGAGAAATATGCTTTCTTTTATTTGTTGCACTGTATCTTAAGCTAGAATACCACTTACAGCATTATCCATGTCTAGTTTGTGGTCTAGTTAAGTTTCAGTTAATGATACCGCTTCTTGGGGTTTAATTTTATAAGATGATTAGAATGGTCATAGGCGCAAGTGCTATTACGAACTCAGTTCACATAGGGTCCTTTGACCTGGGACCGTCTTCAGCATTTCCAACAATTTGGAATCTGGTGTAAAGGAAAAAATTTTGTACGGGATGTTTTGTGCAACCACACTATGGGTTCAGTATTACCCGTCTACTGTCACGATACCCTTTATTGATGACTGGGCCCTAAGCTCTGTTTGTAGTCTCCCTGAGCAAGAACATTATTTTTACCTATAATTTGTCAATTTGTAATAAGTTACTTGAGCTGACTGTTATTTATATTAGATAGCATAAAATGATCAATGTACACTTCCTTCCATAAGTATTAGGACACCTGTTCTGACTGCATAAAAGTGGTAGCACATGTATTGCATACTTCACACCACACCTTTACTATCTGTGCTTCGTTTCATCTGTAAAGACTTACAAAATGTAGTATTCGAAATTACAATAGATAGATTCAATAGATTCTAAATTTTAAATAGCAACCTAATTTTATGAAAGAGATTGTCTTCTATGGTACATTACATTTTTGAATTGCTTTTTGTAATTTCTAAAGAATGTTTGTACTTAATATTGTACATTTCTTATCTTTTGGAAAAGTATGAAAAATATTTTAAAATGAAATATGTGTGGCTTATTGCCGTTGTAACGATCACAGACAAAAATTCGCGCTTTAAAGTAATCAATCCAAAAGAAGAGTTCTTAATTGCAGAAAAGTCGACTTCATGTCTAAATAGTAATATTCATAGCTTACTGAAGTAGGAATATTCTTACTTAATTTATTTAAAATTGCAATAATTATTCATACTTCAATCTGCAATTATAGTAAGTTATACACAAAAAGCGCCTATCATCAATGCATGATAACAAATTTCAATTTCATCACTAAATGTTATATAAGTATGATCCAGTTATGACTGAGTCCATTATGACCAGAGTTTTCAATAACTGCGTACGCATCAACAGCTTCTGGTCACTAATTTAAGTTAGTAGTTGTTTGTATTAATTCGAGTAGGAAGGCAGCCAATTGAGAAACGAATCCGTCTAGAAATGCATTTTGGAGAAGTGATGTATAAGGGTCAAAAGGAACCCATGTTACTCTACCTGTATTACCATTAAAACCGTTTGTCTTCCATGGGGTACAATTGTATTCACATACAATATGTATTTCCATAAAATTTTCTTATACTTTCTGCAAATTATATTTTTTACTAAGCTGCAGAACATATCACGTTACCGAAACGATTTTAAATTACGTCAGTAATTAATTCGGAGGTCGAATCTTTTTGTGGGCTGAAAATTAATATCTGTGTAACAGCCAAGAACACCAAACAGTCGTGCAGTTATCTTGAATCACGAGCCCGGTTGAAGAAGCCAGCTGCAACGGAGTTGAATCGAATTGCATGCGCGTGATCCACACAAACGGGAGAACAACGGGGCCTCTCGTTCAGGAGAATAATAATGCAATTTCCTAGCTATAAAATGCAGCGTCCTCGTGTTATAGAAATTTTTCGACTATCCTGTACCAAAGTCAAATCCACGCTTCACATTATCCATTCAGCCGGATGGAGGGACGAGTGCATTTGACATAGGACTGTTCCGTTTGCATAATCCGATGAAGATTTGATAATTGTGAGAGCGTTCGCTGAATTAAAATAGTCTGTATAATATACCATCGTTCGTAATATCATACCTCTTTTTCCAGATGTCTTTTCAATTAAGCAAATTGCTTTTGGAGCTAATGCACGAGTATAGTGAGGAGAGTATGTGGTGGAATAATGAAACACATACTGTCATGCATACATCGCGGCTTAATAATTCAGTTAAAAGGGAAATGCTTCCTGAAGATTTATGTATGAGATATTATATAACTCAGTTTTAAGTTACATTGAAAGAGCAGAATAATTACTAGAATTACTCATCGTCCAGTTCGTTCGTATGAAGCCATTTATAGCTTCTTTTCAACATACTTTAAAACTTTTATAATAATTTAAAAATTTCATTCCAATTATTAATTCCATTAAAATCTACAATTACTCATAGTACTAATAAGGGAAGGCACAGAAGTGTCCCCCTCCGATTTTGATCAAACTTCGTATGTCTGTTAAGCAGTCAAAAATAATTGATACGTATTTTTTTTATCGGCTAAGATGCGACTTTAAGGGGTGAAACCACCTCTCGAAGTTTCGTTCCGAAATTTTTTTGTTATAAACAAATTATATTTTGGACAATTTGTTAGCACCATATTATTCTACATAAGAACCGCAAACCTCGTCCATTAGAAATTTTCATGTATCTCCTCTGGTTTTCGAGATAGTACATTCGCGTCGAAACATCGAGGGGTGGTTTCGCCCCTTAAAATCGCGTCTCAGCCGATAAAAAAAATACATATCTCCTATTTTTGACTGCTTAACAGACAGAGGAAGTTTCATAAAAATCGGAGAGCGACACTTCCGTGCCTTCCCTTGTAAGTTCTCTTTATTAAGAAATTTTAAATAGATAACTGTTTAATTGTTAATATTCTTACAATCAAGTCACAATTACTGTACGAATTTCCAGCCCGTATTGTTTCATTCCAAAGGTTAGTATTAGGTTGTTGCACGTAATCGTTTTCTTACCAGCACTTGAGATGATATTGAGCGTTATACTAATTTTATTAGGCAAAGTAAGATTGAATAATCATAACATTCGGGTTATATTCATTACATGATCGTTATACTGAATTTGAAGATGACTGATCAAAGACACCTTTAGCTGTCATCTTTCCGCCGAATCTTGTCATTGTTAAAGAGAATTTTTTTTAGCAGAAACTTATATGCATCTTTATAAAATTTATTTATGAATTTCACTGAAATGTCCATCTCTCAATGCACCTGCAGGAAATGGCCGAATTTAATTGAAATTGATTCTCGACTTTTAAGGAAAAAGTCGTTTACCATAGCCCAAGTTTCAAATTTTCATTAATAACCCACAGACATCACACCCCCACCTCAACGTAAATAAACACGACACTAATGGGAATTGGGATATTACATTTTTTATGATAAAAAACTTGAAGAGAATGAAAGCAAATTGAACTCGTAA